ACATCAAACTCAAAAACTCTAACGTAAAGCTCTAGTTTCACCTACTAGTTTTTCTGAGTCGTAATAATAATATAAGAAATCCTTCACCATGGTTGGCCAATAATACCCCATCCTCTTTATGTGAAAGTGGAGTTTCGGTCCAGATTGATGAGATCCACATACTCCTGAGTGTGCTTCTTGTAGAGATTGAATTGTTTCTTCCTTTCCCAAACATCGTAATAGTACACCCTCAAACAATATTTTATATAATGTGTCCTTGTAGTAAAGGAAGTGAGGTACACGACGACAAATGTCAGTCCTTCTCCTTGAATTTTCTGGAAGTATCCCATAACACATGTAGTCAATAATGGGTTGTCTCCAATCTTCCTTCGCAACTACAGGAACGGCGACGAGATGATCAAGCTCATTTTCTATATATTCTTCCTCATTTGGCAATGGTACTATCCATTTTTTGACAAATAGTCACTTGCATCTGATCAGGAAGGGTTAGAGTTGAAGCTAGAGAAGCCAATGCATCAACTTTCTTATTTTTCGTTTTACGCACATGTTGAAGGGTTACATCTCCAAGCCATCCTATCAAGTTTTGAGCATAATCATGATAAGGGCGCAATTCGGGCTTCTTCACTTCATAACTTCCCAAGAGTTGATTGATCACCAACTGAGAGTCACCAAAGACTTGTAAGTGTAATTGATTCATGTCGACCGCCATTTCAAGTCCAAGTATCAACGCCTGGTATTCAGCAACATTATTGGAGCAACATTGCTTCAAAGTAAAAGAGAATGGTAGAATATCTTCTTGTGAAGTGATGAACACCACGCCAGCGCTAGCTCCACCACGATGTGCAACCCAATTAAAGTACATTTTCCAAGGAGGTTGAATTTCAATTGACATCGCATCTTCATCAGGAAGCTCATCAGTTAACTCCCAATCATCCAGTATCGGATGGTCTGCCAAGAAATCCGCTAATGCTTGTCCTTTCACAACTTTTTGAGGGATGTACACGATCTCAAACTGTTGGAATTGGAGGTACCACTTTGCTAGTCGGTCACTAAGGTCAGGTTTCAACATAACAAACTTGATGGGATTTTCTCTAGAAATTAGACGAACAACATGAGCTTGAAAATAATGCTTCATATTTTGAATTGAGAAGAATAGCGCCAAGCACAATTTTTCAATTGGCGAATAGTTCAGCTCATTTGGTGTCATCATTCTCAAGTAATAATGAGAGTTTTATTTTCCTTCACTATTCTCTTGAGCTAACAGGACTCCTACAGACCTTTCTTGTACCGCAATGTAGAGTATCAATGGCTTTGCAGGTATAGGGGCTGTCAAAATTGGAGGTTTCGCTAGATATAATTTGATATTTTTAAAGGCATCACTACATGTTTGGTCCCAATTAAAAGGAGCACATTTCTTCATGAGATGACCGAATGGTTGGCATCTTCCCGCTAGATTTGAGATGAACCTCCTCAAATAGGCTAGCTTTCCTTGGAGACTTTTTAACTCATGAATATTTTGAGGCTCGGGCATCTTCGATATTGCATCAACTTTGGCTTGATCAATTTCAATTCCTCGTGTCTTACAATGAAGCCAAGGAACTTTCCAGAAGTAACTCCGAATGCACATTTCAAAGGATTCATTCTTAGTTGATATCTTCGGAGAAACTCAAATACCATTCTTAAGTCTTTCAAATGATCACCCCTCTTTCTTGACTTTACCACTTAATCATCAACATAGAATTCAACATTCTTATAGAGCAATTCATCAAATATATTTTGCATAGCCCTTTGGTATGTGGCACCAGCATTCTTTAAACCAAATGGCATTAATTTGTAGCAATAAATACCATTAGGTGTGCGAAATGAGGTTAGTTATTCATCTATTGGTGTCATGCGACTTTGATTATTTTCGGAGAAACCATCTATGAAAGACATTGCCTCATAACCAGTGGTGGCATCGATCATCAACTCTGGAATGGGAAGAGGGAACTCATCTTTAAGGCATGCATTAATGAGATCCCTGAAGTCAACACAAACTCGTATTTGGCCATTCTTCTTCCTCAGAGGAACAATACTTGAAATACATGTAGGATATTTGACTTCACGAATAAAGCCTGTCTCGATGAGTTTATTAACCTCATTTTCTATCAATGGAACCAAGTCTGGCCTAAAACGTCTTTAAGCTTGCTTAACAGGACAAGAACCAATTTTGACCGCCAACTGATGCACTGCTACTTTAGGATTCAAGCCAGAAATTTATTTATAACTCCATGCGAAGACATCCCTATATTCTTTGAGTATATTCATATAAGCGATTTCTTCATCAACTCTTAGAAAGGCACTCAAGTAAGTTGGCATTGGGTCTTCATCAGTGCCAAGGTTCACTTTCTTTATGGGATCTATTGTGGTCTTCACTCCAGCATCTTCCTCTTCTAGAGGATCATTTTCATTGACAGATATATGACAACACCAGACAATATCTTCCAATTCTTTATCAATCTTCGTTTGAGGCAAGGCATCGTGCTCATTCTGGGTTGTAACATAATATGAGGAGCCTACACTTTCTTCATCTTTCTCACGCTCTTTGGTGTAAACCACAGTGTGAGTCTTTGCCTTTAGTTCCTCTTTACAAGAAACCACAAGTTCCACTCGTCGCCTCATTCTAGAAGGAATCAAACTTTTGAAATCCTTTTGGTTCATAGATGGAGCCAGTGTTGTCACTTTTAGATAACTTCTTTGATGATTGTTGTTGTTCTTCTTCAATGGACCTAATCTCTCGGATACAGAAGTTCTTGCAGTTGCAAGTCAATCAAAGACGGAAGTCTTTTTATTATGAGCAGTGACATCATCTTCAACAGTTATATGATTATTGCTTGCTCTTCTTATGGAAATGCGAATTGGCGGCAGTTGGCTATAGCCTATGCCTTCACATGCTTGCCTAGTTGTGTCTTCCGATGGGAGTTTCCTTAACATTGATGGCTCATTAGGGTTGTATCCAGTCTTCACAAATAACTTGTAAGCATTGGGATCAAAACCTTAATTGGTAAAAGATAGATTACGTATAAAGATAAAATATTAAAATATTTATGGTAATCCTTATTAGTTTCATGCACATACTAAATTTCAAGTATGAATATTTAAGAGAAAAATTATACTTAAATGGTGTCCATCATTTATGTTCATAACCTCAAGAGGAAAGACTATTGGTGACATTTTTTGTATTGATATATTTTTTTAAAATTTGTTGGTTATATTTATTTACAAAATTGAGTGAAGTAAATAATAATACTACTAAAGAAATGTCACTTTCTCCCCATATTTAAACTTTGAATGTATTTTGAAATGTTTCAATAATATCTGGTCATTTTGATCTCAAAATACAAGTAAATCTATGACAATATGTATTAATCATTTTAAAGCACCCTATTTTCTGTAAATTATAATTACTTACTAAAAATCTTTAATTTAGTAATATTAATTTTATTTTGCAACATCGTATACTATATATACGATACGCACGTGCAACAAATGTGTCGTGAAACTAATATATATATATATACCAACATGGGTTGTGATACACTGGTGGGAGTGTTTCACCCTTAATAAGAGGTCTCGAGTTCGAGCCCTGGGTATGGAGAAAATCATGTTGGGAGCGCCACCCCCGAATGGGCTCTACAATGCGCGATCCGGATTTAGTCGGAGCTCCAATGTGGGCTCCGAACACCGGGCGAGAAACCAAAAAATATATATATTAGAAAAATACATTCAAACAACTAAATATTATTTGCAAAGTTATACCCAAACACAACTCTATTTTCAACTCTATTTTCAAACAATTTTTTTCGGCAAAAAAAAGAATTTAAAAGGGGAAAGCACTACCAAAAAAAAAAAAAAGAAGGGGGAAAGCACTTGAAGACAAAGAATGAAACAAACTCAGCTGAGCTCGAGAAAATGATCAAAATGATCCTTAATGTATGGGGGTTACTTTATTTTGGTCCTTAATATAATTTTACATGATCAATATAGTCCTTAATGTATTATAAAAAGTGCTCAATTTGATTCTTTACCCTAAAAGTAACAAATTCATCAAAAAGTTCTGTTAAGTTTAACACTAGTACTTCACTAAAAATATAAATCCAAAAACTTTTTCCTTCCCCTTCAATTTCTATGTTTTCCATCAAAATCTCTGGTTCAAAGAGCTTGTGCTGCTTCTTCTTTTTCCCCTTCCGCCATCATAAGGAACTTTCCTTTTCTCTATGAATAGAAATTGTCAAAAAGAAAATATTTTTCTCTTCTAAGTTTATCCTCTAAGTTCTAATTTTCAAAGCTTTTCCAATTCAAAAGTGATAAATGAACTTTAATAAAAGCAATATTTGAAGTCTTTTATTATCATTGTTAAGAAAAATTGATAATATTTAAAGTTAAATACAAAAGCTCTAATCAAATCCCCTATTTGAAAGTGATGAAATTGATCCACGATCAATATTTGTGATTCCAAAATTCATAAAAAAAATTGAGTGAAGCTGAAAGTATATTGGAAGTATTTGAAAATGGACCGAAGATATACCCAAATTGTGAAATCTAAAAACCAAATGTTACCTTAATTTGGGGTTGATTCTTTGCCACAAATCACTTTTTTGATAAATATTTTTGGGAATGTCAAAGACAAGTAGAAATGTTTTTTCACTGCTATATATAATGAAATTTGAAAGAGATGAAGAAGGAGAAAATTGGGCAAGCTTTTCGGCTATGGCTTAGAAGGGGAACGAGAAAGTTTTTGAATTTATTTTTTAGTGGGACCCAAGGTTAAACTTAACAGAAAATTTTGATGAATTATTGCTTTTAGGGCAAAAGATCAAATTGAGTATTTTTTATAATACATTAAGGACTATATGAATCATGTAAAATATATTAAGGAACGAAATAAAACAACCCCATACATTAAGGAACATTTTGATCATTTTCTCGCTGAGCTCCAACTAAACTAAACAAAAAAAATAAACTACCATAACCTCCTGTCTTCCCACTTGAGCCATGTGAGTCTCCCATGGCTTCTCCATCTGCTTGTACACATTCCATTAGCTCCCCACTTCACTTCTCCCCATAATCCTCTCTCTCTCCGTGTTGTATATTCTTCTCCCCCGTTCGATCCGGACAATGCCCGACACAAATGGAGCTCCTAATTCCAATCCCAAACCAAACCCTAACAAACAGGAGAGACCTCCGTTGCTCAAGAAATCCAAAATCATTGCCGACAACACACTCGCCGGCCAACTTTTCCCCGCTGTTCGCCGTGTCTCTTCTACTTCGCCATCCTCCTCTGAATCTCATACCACTTCCGCGACTAATGATGCAAATTTTGGATTTGGCGATCGTGACTACGTTTACCCCTCTTTTCTTGGACCGCATACTACTAGGAATAGAGTCAACGTCAAGTCAACTTCGAAATCCCAGAGGAATAAGCACGACTTACCAGCTCGTAGCGAGTCTATGCCTTCCAATTTGAGTTGTGAAGCTAAGGTGGAGTCAAAGATGAAGCCCAAGCCCAAGCTGAAAGCTGAGAAAGATTTGAATGCTTTGTCAATTCAAGTCTCAAGTTCAGCTTCTTCGGCTTTGTCAGGGTCCAGTTCAGCTAACTTCTCCAATGCTCGAAGACCTTCTGCTCATAGATATTCGTGGATTCTTCTTTTGGTTGGTGTCTTTATGATTTTCCCATTCTAATTCCCGTTTCCATCTCTCTTCGATTTAAAAACCAAAAAGACATGCAGAAAATGTGAATTTTGCAATTGATTGCTTTTGGGTAAAATTTTAAAGGAGTTAATAAAATGTTACACAGTGGTACAGTACTCTCTCCGTCCCATTTCATACCCCTGTGTTTGACTGGATACAGATTTTGAAATGTTAATTTTGAGTTCTATATGTTATGTTAGCGATGCCAGAAAAACAATTAAAGTAATTGTTGACAGGTTGGTTTGGTAAAGATTGCCTCGAGGTTTAAAATTTGAATAGTTTAAAGTATTTGAATTTTTTAAAGTATGAAATTTTATAGAAATGAATGATGTCAAACATTTTGAGACGTCCCAAAGAGGAAAGAATGTTATATAAATTGGACAGTGAGAGTACATAGTAGGATAGTACTATGTTTTACTTTTTTGGTGAATGGGAATTTGTTGCCCATCCAATCTCTTTTTTTTTTTTTTTTTTTTTGGATAATGAATGCCCATCCAATCTCTGTTTTTTATAAACCTTTCTGATCTCAATGCATTGGTTTTTGGTTCTTCTTGATATGTTGATCAATTATTTCCTTTTATTGCAGCTTAAGTTTCTTTGTACATTATCTGTATCTCACACATTATATTTGCGGAATGAAGTCTCTAAACTTCAGGTATGCTCTCTATCTCTATGACCACTGTTCAAATCGGGAATTCTTTTCACTCTAGTCTTTGTTTACATATAGTTTTCAGTTGCTGCTTATTAAAAGAAAACCCGAATAATATGTTGCCCAAAAAGAATAAAAATAAGAAGAACCACTGCTTATTGGAAGAAACAGGCATAGTAACCACTCAACTTGTACTCAAATTTTGATCTCTGTTGTAATTAAATAGTTGGTTCTCAATACATCAGTTGAAGGTGAGGATTGATTTATTTGCAGGAGGAGAATATTAGTCTTCGTAGAGCTTGTAGCCATGTTGATCTTGCCAGCGCTGGTATCATGGAGCTTGAAGAAGTTAATTCATTAGTGTATTTTGGTAATGCTGACAGCAGAACAGTTGCTCTGTACATGGTGGTGTTCATCCTCGTTATTCCTTTTGCATTGTACAAATATCTTGACTATCTTCCGAGAATAATTGATCTCTTGAAGAGGAAATATACCATAAAGGAGGAGGTTCCACTGATGAAAAGGATTGCATATGTGGTGGATGTGTGTTTCTCAGTTTACCCTTATGCAAAGCTTCTTGCACTTCTTTTTTCCACTCTCTTTCTAATTGGATATGGTGGATTGGCACTTTATGCTGTTGGTGATGGCAGCTTTATTGAAGCTATTTGGCTTTCTTGGAGCTTTGTAGCGGACTCTGGAAACCATGCTGATATGGTTGGTGCAGGGCCAAGGATAGTTTCAGTTCTGATAAGCTCTGGAGGCATGCTCATATTTGCTATGATGCTGGGGCTTGTTTCAGATGCTATTTCAGAAAAAGTGGATTCTTTAAGGAAAGGAAAGAGTGAGGTGATCGAAAGTAATCACATTCTTGTCCTTGGATGGAGTGATAAATTGGTAAGTCTATAGCATATTGCTTAAAATGATACGACTTTTTGATGTATTATCTGAATTTTGCTCTATATTTGGGCAGAAAAAGTAGATTTGGATGGACATACATTAGATATGGGGTGTGTGTAATCTATAATCCATTCTATCAATATGATCCATAAGAAAGTTTAATCCAGATCCATCTACAGTCCATTTGATCCAAACAGTAATGAATCGTTGGATCTAAATATATACAGCCACACATTGACCTACATGGCTGTGCAACAAGGTTGTACTGTTGGACTTAAATCTTCCCTCTTGACTTGTCAATAATATAATATAAGTTGTTAGTCATAGATGATAGTTTGATTCCAGGAATATATTTTATTTCTAGTTAGCGCATTTTCAGCTGCTAACTGAACTTTCTATTTTTCTGTCTGCTTGATTCTTTTCCTACATGACAAGTAGAATGAAATACTTGAGTAATGGTGCTTTTGGCAAGGTAAATAGGCTTGATATAGGTTTGACTTATAAAACTATTGTACTTTATATTAAAAAGGCTTGATATAGTTTTGGTTCTTTATTAATAATGAGTAAAGAGATGAAGAGAGAAAAAAAAATAGCAAAATTACTCTATATCGGAAAGAACAATTTTTAATTTCCATTACCTTCTCAATAATCCAGTAGAGTGAAAATCTGCAAAGTGTTTTCAATAGGCATTGCAAGTAAGATAGTACCATTGGTTCTTGAGAGATCTTATTGGAGAAAAACAAAGACATACTTCTAGAATAGCTTTCAGGTCATACTGTTTGTTTCTGTTAGATGCAAACATCACTTGGCAGCCTTCGCTCGATGGAAGGAATTATCTGGTTTGATCACGGCTTTTGAGATTGATTATGACACGTAGGCGTAAAAGTATTTCTTATTACAGGGGTCACTTTTGAAGCAGTTAGCAATAGCAAACAAGAGCATTGGTGGTGGTGTTGTCGTTGTTCTTGCGGAAAGAGACAAGGAGGAGATGGAGATGGACATAGCAAAGTTAGAATTTGATTTCATGGGAACTTCAGTTATCTGCAGAAGTGGCAGTCCGCTGATACTTGCTGATCTGAAAAAGGTGTGAGAGTGTATCTTTCTTCTTTCCCTTGTTGACCTTGATTCTCCCTCTTATCCTTTAATCAGTTTTTCCTTTTCTTCATTATCCTAATATTCTAATTGACTCTGTGAAGTAAAAGTAACTATTATCTTCGTGTTCAACTTGTATCTTATACTCTTCTTGAATTCTCTTAACCCTGCCTTATTCTTTCTTTATTATAGTTGTTTCTTTTTGTTTTTGTTCTTCTATGACGCATGCAGGTATCAGTCTCGAAAGCACGTGCAATCATTGTCTTAGCATCTGATGAGAATGCTGATCAGGTGCTTTTTTCACAAATGAATCTTCAAGCTCTAAACAACCAGATAATTGGACTAATTATTCCATTGTTTTTATTAGAGTGATGCACGTGCTCTAAGGGTTGTACTTAGCCTAACTGGAGTAAGAGAGGGGTTGAGAGGTCATGTTGTTGTGGAGATGAGTGATCTCGACAACGAACCATTAGTGAAGCTTGTTGGTGGTGAACTTATTGAAACAGTTGTTGCGCATGATGTGATTGGGAGGTTGATGATACAATGTGCTTTGCAACCTGGCCTTGCTCAGGTCAGTTATACATAGTTCTGTTGCATTATTTTTTCATTTGTGTTTCTCTTCCTTGCTTTGGCAGATTTTTACCACTTATGTTGTTGTCTAGACAGGCTGTGGTCCATCTGGTTCCTCTTATATCTATTGGCTATAATCATTAGTTTTAAATTCAATGAGTGCGACATCAAGAGTCTGTATACTTGTGCCTTACATTTCCTGAAAACTTTGCAAGTTTGGACCAAAAAAATTCTCTTCCTTTTGAGTTCCTTGTTGATGATTTAACAACAAACAATTCCTTTCAAACTACTTCGGGTCTCTTGTAATCCTCAATACCCATTTTGCTCCTTTTAATACCTGTTCAATCCAATACAACTTCAGTCTTATGAAAATTCATAAGTTAACTTGTTTATTGCTGGCCTTCTACCTACTGTAAGTCCGTAACCGTCTTCCTTTATTTGGTATTTGGATCAGCATCCAGCCATGTATGCTCATAGTGGCGAAGTTGAGGTCCTTGTTAATCTTCACCTATATTTACCCAAAAAATGTGTGGACGGAATTTCAAGATTGATTTTGATGTAAACATTTTGATTCCATTACATGTGGTCATAGTCTCATAGATAAACAATTCTGTTGCTATTTAATACTGCTCTGCAGTTGATACTCCTGAAACTGATGCACAATCTGTTTGGGACTGAAGATCCAGTATAAGGTTAAGACTCATCTTTCCTTGAGTGATTTATTTAGGCACATGCTTTTTTGAGAAAGAATTTAGGCACATGCTTTCCCAAGCTGTATTGAATGATAATCTGATCTTAGTTGATATACAAGATTCAGATGGAATAAAATGGAAGGCGATTATAACCATTTACCTAATTGTATTGGAAACCATAATGATACCCACATGATGGATGAGTGAACTCATTGTAGATACAATAATATAGAGGTACCTACTGATTGAATGCCAAAATAGTATAGCTTTCTCAATTTTTGCTTGATCCTGTTTTTGGTAGCTGTTAGTTTCTGCGTAAGAGTAATATGTATTTTCTTGTTAATACCCTGTCTCGTCCAATATGACAGATTTGGGAAGACATTTTGGGGTTTGAAAATGCAGAATTTTATATCAAACGGTGGCCTCAACTGGATGGTGTACCCTTTGAAGATGTACTGGTATCATTTCCGGAGGCTATTCCTTGCGGTGTTAAGGTTGCTGCTTATGGCGGCAAGATTATCATAAATCCTGATGATAGATATGTTCTAAAAGAGGGTGATGAAGTCCTTGTCATAGCTGAGGATGATGATACCTATGTGCCAGGTCTCTTACCAGAGGTGAATTCTCTTCCCTGTATTGGTTTTATTTTTGCTAGTATTGTTTTTTTTTTTGGTTTAGGTATTTTTACTAGTGTTGGTTATTGTAGCATTTAGCATCAAATTAGGGTGCTTTCCAGTATTCTAATTCCTCTTTTGAACTTAAGGCATTTATCTTGTGTGAGAAAGAGACGACAGTAAAACATTAGTTCTATTCTCCATCAATGGCAGGCAATATAGTTGATAGTTCTTTTAAATAATTAAACAAAGACAGAAATTGAGTCTGAGTCGTGTATCACCATTACTTGTAATTTGTATATCTGAATTTTGTGAATCTACTGGTTGCTCCCTTCCATAGGTCAATATTTCTGATCCTTGTCTGGTGATATTTCAACAAATGCATGGTGGACATTGGCTCAGTTTCTGTATTTGCTTATATAGTGGCTTGCTTATTGCAGGTAAATAAAGGCCTATTCCCTAGGATAACTGATCCTCCAAAATATCCAGAACGAATCTTATTCTGTGGCTGGAGACGTGATATTGATGATATGATTATGGTACTGTACATCTTTATCACCTATTTCTCCTTTCAATCTCTGTGTGTGTGTGTCTGTGTCTGAATATGTGACTAACACAGAAACCACCCCAGTTCCTGAGACCACGAACTAGTGTTATTTAAGCATGCTTAAGCCCTAAAGCGAAGCTCAAAACGTGTTGAGCGCTTCGCCTTGCTTAAGATGTGCTTCACAGCTTCGGTGTCGTCCTCCTCTTGATAATTTCACTAGCTCTATGGACTTCCCTGTTAACGACCCTATGTTCCTAGATCCCATTCTTAGCCTTGAAGCTCCTATAACCCACTTACCACCCCTGCTCCCTGTTCCCTACCCCCTGCACCTGCCTGAGACCACGCCCGAGAACCACTGTTATTTAAGTGTGCTTAAGCCCTGAAGCGAGTCTCAAAACATGTTGAGCGCTTCACCTTGCTTAATATGTGCTTCAGTGTTGTCCTCTTGTTGATAATCTTCAGTAGCTCTATGAACTTCCCCGTTAATGACCTTATGTTCCTAGATCCCACTCTTAGCCTTGCAGCTTCCATAACCCACTTACCACCCCTGCTCCTCGGTCCTGCCAGAGACCACGCCCCGAGAACCAGTGTTATTTAAGCGTGCTTAAGCCCTAAAACGAGGCTCAAAATGTGTAGAGCACAGGCCTTGCTTAATATGTGCTTCCATGTCGTCATCAAGGTTCTAAGGCATACTTTTCCTTGCCAATGAGTCTCTCCTGAAGAGGCGACACTAAACAATATATTTGTTCATATATTTGTCTTTCATGCTTATAATTACTTGTCTCTTCTTTTCTTTTTTTGTCTTGTTTGTTCCAGTTATAATGTGATCTTTAAAAATCCTTGCATTGATTTTGTGTTCGAAGCTTTTTAAGAATCAAATACAGTGTAAATCCTAAAATGTTGAATATTTGCTTCTGTTACTGCTAAATTACTAGAATAATTAGTAGTTTAGTTGCAGGAGGAGTCTTTGTTTAAATTTGAATTCTGTTAGATTAGTCTAGTTGATATAATTTAGGTTTTTGAATTTTGTTCTGCAGATTCTGTTTTCCAGTTGACTATATAAAAGTCTTCTATGCTTAACAAAATTATTGAGAAACATTTTCAATCTTTCTTTCAACCTTTTTTTGCTGTACCATCATTTCAGAAACCAACAAAAACAGTGAGAATATATACTATTCATGTGTTTCAGAGGCTTCTTCACGTTTTGTTAGGTACTGGAGGCATTATTGGCTCCAGGGTCTGAATTGTGGATGTTTAATGAGGTGCCCGAGAATGATAGAGAAAAAAAGTTGACTGATGGGGGTCTTGATATATCAGGACTAGAGAACATAAAACTTGTCCATCATGTGGGAAATGCAGTGATTAGACGTCATTTAGAGGGTCTTCCTCTGGAGACATTTGATTCGGTAAGTTCAAGTTGTTCTCATACTTTGAGATCTTTAATATTCTCCTAAAAGAAAACTGAAAATAAATGAAGTCATTTCTCAATAAGGTTGGGAGAAAAACATGGTCATGTTTGTTTGCACGGAAGATGCTTATTTACTTTAATGTTCCCTCGGGCAAAACTAATGATTTCTGGATTTGTTGTAGCATAGCGCTAGGTAGCTGGTGAATCCTTTTGGTAATTTTTTCACACTTCTGAATTCAGGAAAAATGTTTATCTTTGTCTTGCTACTAAGGATCTGAATGCAGTGGGCTAGTTGCTCTTGATTTTCCTTGGTGTAGAATAAGCAAAGACGAGAATCATTATGATTTAAAAGTTAAAACTGTATACCAGAGGATAGTATTTTGGCATGTCAATTCATATTTTTGTTGATGCACTGTTTACTAACTCTAAGAGAATAGATTTTGATTCTTGCAGATGAATCCGTTGAAGACTCCATTGTTCATTCTGATTCACGGTCTCTTGCCACCCTCCTTCTCATCCGAGATATCCAGGTCATTGTTGCCAACTTTCGATTGAGGCATATAAACTTAGTTTTTCACTGGAGTACTTGTTTCTGAGAAGCATTTCTTGTTTGAAGAAGTCTGCAGCTTTTCATTTTTGCCCTCAATTTCTTTTCACTTCATTTTGCCTTTTCCTCCCTTCCAGTACTAATGATCTCACTTCCTCTCCCTCTGGCCTGCCCTTTCTGATTTCCCAAGTCACAATGGTAAAATGGATGTCATTAATCCTCCAATAGTGATTGAAATTGCTGAATTGTTATTTAATGCAGTCGAAGCGTCTTCCTAATAAAGATTCTAGGTCGGTTCCTCTACGGCATTCAGTGTTTTCTCAGAGCTCCTGGATTCGTGAAATGCAGCAGGCATCAGACAGATCAATAATAATAAGTGAGATATTGGACTCTAGGACAAGAAATCTTGTGTCAGTGTCTAGAATAAGTGATTATGTGCTGTCAAATGAACTGGTGAGCATGGCACTTGCAATGGTAGCAGAAGACAAACAGATTAATCGTGTGCTAGAAGAATTGTTTGCGGAAGAGGTATTGTTTTTTCCTTATTTACTTATAGACTGAGTGCATAGAGTGATATGCTTGGACGACTGTAGATGAGTTTAATGTGAGAGCATGCATTTATATGAATGAAATACAGGGAAATGAATTATGCATCAAGCCAGCCGAGTTTTATCTGTATGACCAGGAAGAAGTGTGCTTCTACGATATCATGAGAAGGGGTCGTCAAAGACGGGAGATAGTGATTGGATACCGCATTGCAGCTGCAGAACGTGCTGTGATTAACCCAGCAGGCAAGTCAAAGCAAAGAAAGTGGTCCCTTGATGATGTTTTTGTGGTTATTTCCTCAGGTGACTGAAAACCTTCTTTATATTAATCATCACAAATCCTCTCCAGACAAGCAGCATTCACTACAAAAGAGGCAAATGAGGTAAACTTCAACCAGCAGATTAGGTAGAAAATAATAGCAAGAGCTGGTCCGCATAGTTAATTTCCTCTATTTTTTTTGTCTTATACATTTTGCCATACAAATCGGGGAAATGAAGAATGAAAATTTCCCATCATTAGGGAATTAGTTTTTTGGCATCCTCTCTTGAAGCACTTGAGTTATCAAATAGTGCTTTAATTCAAAGACTTCTTATAAATTACATGCACATTATCAAATAATGCATTCATGTTCCTTAAAATAATGAAGGTAAATCTTATTTAGCAAACAAAGAAGCGATAATTACATTACAATGCCGTTCATAAAGCTATATATAATCTAGCCAAGATTTTAATGCTTATCTAAATGGTCCAATTTCATGTCTTCCTCTAATAAAATTTCACCAATGCTAACAATAGATTCTTATTATTTTTTCTTACACAAATCCACATCAAAGACTTTATTTTTGCTATCTTTCTACTATGAAAAACCGAATAGACTAAGCTAAGTTATTTTCAATGGTATGGAATTTCTATTCCAAAAATCATCTTAGTAATTCACATTCGATCTACATCTCAATCGACTTAATCATCTTAGTAATTCACATTCGATCTACATCTCAATCGACTTAATCATCTTAGTAATTCACATTCGATCTTCATCTCAATCGACTTATCGAACTATGCATGCAAATATGTTGGCCCAAATCAACATTTTAACATCAAACCCTCATCTCATTTTTGGAATGCCATGCACGCAAATAAACTATGTTACCACATCAAAATCAACATTCTAAACTCAACAAAATTGTCGAAACAATCAACTGAGGTCGTTTTGATAAAATGTTGGCCCAAATCAACTCTCACAAAAATAACGAAAACAAGTATTTCGCAAACACCACAAAATCATCCCGATCACCTTAGGATCCAAATCAAAGGTCATTCTAGACCAAACTCAACATTTCAAAGCTAACAACGCTAACAGAAATCTCATCCGAGCCCATTTACCAAAAATATTGATTGAAGTCAGCCCTCATCTAAAATTTTCAACATCTTGCCTAACTGCTTAAACTCACACTAAAGGCTCGGAGCCCAAATAAACAATGCTACTAAACCAAAATGGACATTCCGAAGCTGATAGAACTGACATAAATTTTATACGACAACAAATTCTCTAAGTGTTGACCAAAGTTAACTCTTTCAACATAAACACTTCAAAAATGGGGAAACTCCCCGAAAATTCTCCCGAACCACCTCAGGAAGTGTGCCACACATCCAAACACACTAAATACACAACATACAAGCTAGATGAAGGGACAAAATAGTCAAAACACACAAAAAAAACAAGGAAATGACTAAGAAGGTCATTACCATATCCACTACTAAAAGCACTTTCTTCCTCGAAAGTTAAAGAAATGAAGGTACCTAAAGGCTCAAAAAGGTGAGACTATGATGAGTGATAGATTTGCACTCATTTAAGGTTCATTTAGCTCAATAATTGGTGTCCTCAATGCCTAATATTATTCTATTTTGATTAAATGTTGATGATTTGCAGCTATGAAGGAAATTGGGACAAGACAAGGATTGATGGTTGAAAGAATGGACAAAAATGCAAAAAGAAGTGTCGATCATACATTGTGGATAACTTTACAAGAAGGGCGGATTGTCGTTTGAGCACAACCTCACCCAAAATGACAGTGCATAACACTTGTGTCTATCAAATCAGATCGATGGACTCCAGTGGAGAAGGTGATGCGTCGAACGAGAAAGACGGCCTTGATGAGCATCACCCAAAATGACAGTATGGAAAGAAAATATTGAATGCTAAAAAGGTGAACCAAGATGATACTTGGCGATTTGATGAACAAGAAAGGCTGACTCAATCGAGTTCACCAATTGAGGTTCAAAACACCTGAAGTCTATATCATTAAAAGGTGAGTTGTGGAGCAAGAGGTGATGCACCAAACATGTTCAGCGAGCCCGACTAATGTCGCTGATTGAGCCGCAAAGTGGAATTTTGGGTCTAATTTTAGGAAATTATAAATAGCCCAAAGGAGAGAGAAATTATATATCATATGACATATAGTAGAAAATATCATAGTGTGTGAAGATTTTAGAGAGATTAAATATTTTACTTTTGAAGAACACTTTTCTAGCTTTTGGGGTTTTACAACTTTGTACTTGAAATTGACAAATGAAGTTGAATCCAAAGTGGGTTTACTTCTAATTGCTTAATTTGATGTTACCTATGATTGCTTTCATGGAAGGTATAATCTTTTTACTTTTTGTGATGGGTGGCTTAAACCCCAAGATATAGGGGTGCAATTATGGGATTGAGTGTTGATTTAATGTAGTGGATATTGTGCTATGCTCTGTTTTGTTGTTGTTCATACATGAATTTGGTCTAATTATTATGGATTTAATTTATGGGTAAAGGTTGCAAATTTAATTTCTACTTCTGATCACTGGTTGATGCTCGAAAGAGATTGATTGGAGTAGGTAATTAGTTTAATACTAGCAATTTAGGTGTGATGTCTGTAACTTGCTTGAAAATAAAGATTAAGGGTCGGATCTATTCGCCCTATTTTTGAAAGATAGAATAGAGTAAGGTATTGGGTTGTTTTGATTGACATTTAGATAAGACAGAAAGGAGATTTTATGCATAGATGCTTTGCGATTGAAAGATGATTAGCGTCAATGAAGATGACTAAGTCTATTCATGAATGTTCATCACTATAGAACAACACAATTACCCTTATGTGACATCGATTTCCTATCCCTGCACCCCTTGATTGCTTGTTAACTCCTGAAATCTTCGACATTTTAGTTTAATTGTGATAATTGATAACCAAAGATTTGCATAAAGTTGGTGGAAGTATACACCCACTTGTTCTTACTATTGCAAATGAACGATCTTAAAATCCAAATCTCTTGATAGGAATTCTCCACGATATACCATTCTATGTGCGATTTGACTCTGAATCTTTGTTGGGTTTTTATTGACTACAACCGCTCACTTTTTTTATTAGTTTTGAAGAGTGATTGAGAAATTAATTTTAATTTTGTTTATTTGTAGTAGATGTCACGACCCAATTTATCAAGTCATGATGGCACCTACTATAACCCACCAGCAGGTAAGCCAACCCGTAACCCGGAACAACAAGTAATGGGTCTGAGGGTAGAAATTAAACAAGAGTAGGAAAATAACAATATAAAGATCCCTCCCAGAACCTGGAAGTCACCAGTACAGAGCTACTACAAAATGAGTACAAGTCCCAAAACTGGACAACAGAGACTGGACTGTCTCGAAAGGAAAAAGACAAGTCTATATATACAGATGGAGACTGAAATAGTACAAAACGTTGTGTGCTCACCCCCGTCTCTGGATAAGTCTACTCTAAGCTCGATCAACGCTAGCTACTAGTGCTCGGACCTGCATCACAAAATAGATGCAGAGCGTAGCATGAGTACCAAAACAACAGGTACCCAGTAGGCATCATAGGCCGACTGAGCAAGATAAGCAAAAGTTAACTGAAATGCACATAAAGGGTCACATCAAGTGCAAAGAGTAGTAAATGAGGGGGTATGTACACGAGCGTACAGGCAACAAAGACAAGTAATCTAACTAACTCCGCCGGGCTCCCATAAACCCGACGGGTACGCTCGTGCACAATAAAAGAAACCACCTGCACGGACCCCCATAAGCCCGGCAGATGCACCGGCAGTTGAAGTAAAATAATGGAGCTAGAAGGTCTATCACAATATTACCAATTTCTGGACTTTTAACTGAACCATTCCCAATCATATTCCAGGATCTCATTACGTCCCGGACTTTAATCGGAATCTCTCCAACCTCCAAAACCTCAACCTACAGATGAGAGTAATCAAGACTAAACTGAAGCTTTAGTGAGGAATTGGGAATACACCACGTGCAAGCTGGACCACGGACTCGAACCGGGTACTATAGCTAATGAGTCAACCTATATGGGCTGGACCACGGACTCGAACCGGGTGCTGTAGCCAAAGGTCGGGCACGGGTGGGCTGGACCACGGACTCTAACCGGGTACTGTAGCCAAAACCAGATCACAGGTAAGCTGGACCACGGACTCTAACCGGGTACTGTAGCTAAGCCTGGACATAAGTAAGCTGGACCACGGACTCTAACCGGGTACTGTAGCTAATAGAAAAGCAGGGCATTATGGATACAAGGTCATAAACTGAGTTACCGACTATCAGACTCAAGTCTGCTACATCAGTCTACAAGGAGCTGACCGTCCGAAACGACGTCGGAAAAAGTTCTACTGCCCAACGACATCCGAAATCTCGCAAGTCTATGGCAACACTAGTCTAAGCCTAGACTAAGGCCAAACATACTTCAAATCAATATTATCATATACACCACAAGGTATGGATGTTCAATAATATCAAGAGACATGCTGTCATAATCCAACACTTTCCCGAAATAAGGTCTAAGGCAGGGATTATAGAAATTTAGCATGCTCGACACCCGAACCCCTCCATACTCAAGCAAATCAATAACAAATGCCTAAACATGCTCAATCTCACGAGGGAAAGCCATAGCCTACCTGAAAGCCGACCACGCGTGCTCCAACTCACGGTACCGGAACTTTTCCCCTCCGAACGGTCTCCAAATGCTTCCCCACTAACAAAAGGTTAATCACCTCGTCATTACGAATATATTGACACTAAAATTATATTTTTCGGAGACGGACCTAAAATCGGGTCTAAAACGGGATTGTGGGACCCACAATTGGAATCCCGAAAACGAATCCGTGAAAACGTCCCAAATACCTTACTAAACTAATACCCCAAAATTTAGCACAAACAGATGCCTAAAACATCGCAAATCAGCCACAACAATTAACACTAGCAGCCCCTTGATCACCCATTTCTGGAAAAACGAGACCCTTCCAACCCAAACAGATTATACCACGACGATCCTTGCAAAAAACTCTACAAGTTAGCCTCAAGAATGACTCAAAACGGACCTAAGATGATCAAGATCTCACATTTCAAAATTCAACAACAATTCAATCCGAAAATCACCCTAGCAGTAGCTAAAATCGATTTCTTACCTCAAACGAAGCCTCCCCTCGCGTTCCTGAGATCACCTCTAGATTCCCCACGAAATTCTCTTGAAGTTAGCCTTTTGAATCACTTAATTCGGGCTTAAAATGGAGGAGAAATCTTATGTTGAAGATGTGAAAGAAATAATGGACGA